CACGCCCGGCCCCAGCTCCGGCCCTGCCCTCACAGCGTGCGGCTCTGGCGTAGGCAGACCCGTCCTGCTGGCGAGCTCGATTCCGCTGAGAGGACACATGTTGTTAATTCTGTCTAAATGAGTTCTTCAGTGAGTTAATAGGTGGCGAGCACCGAACGTGAGCACATGCTGGAGGCTGGTGCCAATTTAACGTATTAACCGAGCTAATTATACCCCTACCATTTCTGCGTGCAAGCAGAGCCAAAGCAGAATTTGATACCGTTCAAGTCTGGCAGCCGGTGCCACCTGGGGCTGGATCAGCTCCAAGGCATCCCCATGCCGGAGAGCGCTGCCAGCACGGGTAGGTCAGGCAGAAAGGGAGCGCTGAGGAGCCGCCAGCACGGCGATAGCAGCAAGTGCTTTTAAGTGTGGACACGGCGTAACACTCGAGCCTGTCTAGGAACAGCGACCCCAACTAACACACACTGCTCGGACGGCCTCATGACCGAGCTCCGAGATCAGCCCTGGCCCTGCCTCAGCAGAACCTCCCGATGTGGGTTTCCTTTGGGATCACGCTATAGCTGCAAGGAAGCCCTATGTCTTCTGAAAACTCCCCAGTACAAATATGTTTTCTGTGAGCTCCTGACTTCCTCAGACTCTGAATTGCTAGGCCATAAGGACTGAGTTGCTCGGTTGTTTAATACTAGAACGACAAATTCAGCCCTCTGCAAAGTTAGGTGCTAATACAGGCAACTAGATACAATTTTGAGAACTCTGTGTATTCCTGGCCTCTGTCAGCTGCACTTGCTTTCCTCTACTCCAGAAAGACCAACTTTCCAATATCAGGATGACATATGACATGGGCCTTTTTTTTTTTTTTTAATGGTGATAAATGGCCTAGTGTTGTTCTGAGCAGAAACATGTAGGCAGGAAAGCTTCTTGATGTATTTATTGTTACCATGGACTGGGATTACTTATTAAAACCAAGAAAAGGGCAACAATTGCCTTTAACAGGAGAGATCAGAGTTTTCCTACCCTGAGACATGAACCAGGTCAGAACATGCAAAAGAAAAAAAAAAGAGAAAAGAAAGAAAAATAAATCAATCAGTCTCATAGGGAAGTGTTACAAACGGCAATGGTGATATTGCTGAGGTGGAGATGAGTCTGAGATTGTGGGGGAAGGAACTGCCAAGCCACTATATAGACTACACCGAGATTTGTTTCCTGGTGCAGCTATTTCTTTCCCTTACTTAACAAGTATGTGCCCTTGAAAGCAAATCTACATCAATGGCATCTCAAAGGGTGCTCAAGCACTTTGTTATTTAGCATCACGTGAAGGCAAGACAGAGTCTACACGAACTCTCTTGCAACAGATGTCAATGGGAAAAATATAATAAAAAGCAGAGCCAAGAACACCTCACTGGTGGTGACTTCACCTACAACTATTCCTATTTACCTGCTGTCCCACGTGCCAAACTACTCATTTTCTGAGTGTCTGCCAGTATTGCCCCTTAGAAGGCAGCTTACCTGAGTTTGCACTAGGGCTACTCAGGAAAATTTTGAAAAAAATTCACTTAAAAAACAAACCCAAAAAGTAACAGATCCCCAGCTCCATTGTTCTGGGTGAATACGTTCAGTGTATGAAAGAGATACCAGAGATATGAAGCCAAATGCCTCCCCATAGCCTCAGAAAGGACAGTTCACTCACACTTGGAAGCACCATGTGGCATTGTGAAAATCAGACTAATACCAAAGATGGAGCAAAAATACCAGCCAAAAATACCACGCCAGCCCTTCTGGTCAAGGAAAGAAGGAAAATGGAGCTTGGGGATGACTGTGCCAGGCTCAGAGTGCAAGCATGGAGCCTGGGCTAGCATCACTGCCTGGAAAATGCATGTGATTACCTGGATTAGTGGTAATTAGCCTTTTTTTCCACTTTCCCACCCCGCCTTTTTTTTTCCCCCCATGCGTTTTGCTGCACAGGGACTAATGGAAGTTAATGCGCACGCACTCGCACGTGCTCTGCCTCCTGAGCACTGGAGCTCGCTTTGCCCCGCGATCTGCGTCCTGCGCCGGGCTCCACCGGCCCCGGGCCGCCCCGCGGTGCGGCTTGGCCCCGGGAGAGCAGCTCTGCTTCTCATCTGGCCCCTGCCCAGGTGCCCGGCTGCCCTGGCGGGACCTGCTACGTGTGGCTGAGCTCCAGCCAGGGCAGCAAGGAGCCAGTAACGAGATGCCGTCATCAGGTGCGGGGTGGCAGCTCGTCAGCGTTTCTGCCAGGCTCTCCTGCACATGGAGCACGTGTCAGTCTGACATGAACAGGCGCAGAACAGCAGTGCTGTGGTGGCCCAGGAGGCTGACAGCATCGCGGCTTCATCCAGAGCCCAGATTCCCCCAAATCTATCACCTCCGACGCCTCCGTTTCCCGTAAAAGCCACAAGCCCGGCGGGCAGCACACTGGTTGGGAGGGGGTGGGCAGGTAACCGTGTTTCTGGCACTGGCCACGGGCTGAGCACCACCCCGGGAGGCCTGCGGAGCTGCAGCCTGGACCACCCCGGCATGCCGGGAGGCCGGAGTTCATACCCAGCTCTCACCAGCAGGCAAGACGGGCAGCTCCTTGAAGCCTTGGCCACCTGGACAGTCCTCCTGGAGAGAAGGGGATAGCAGGACAAGTCCCCCTGGTGAGGCACAGGCAGGGGTCAGTCTGTGTATGTCTGCTGGGTGAGCACCATGAGCAAGGCCAGGATGACCCGTGCAACCACAGAACCTGAGTGTGGGTAGCAAGGCTGCCCCAAGGACAGACAGGGCAGGGCAGTGACGTGGGCAACGCAGCCGCAAGGAAGTGCCCAAGGCTGAAGGCAGCTCAGTTCATACCAGCAGATGGGCAGGGGGTGGCTCCAAGCTCCCTGCCACCTTTGTTCAACCTGCTTCCACACCTGCTGCTAAGTACTTGCACTCTCCTGCCTTTCACCCACAAGGAGGAGGAACGGGAAGAAGCCAGGAGACTTGGGAAGACAGTGCCTGGTTCCAGCAGAGCTGCAGCAGCTCCCCATGTTTCCTCCTGCTTTGTTCTAGAAGGCCAACTGCCCAGACACCAACCAGGGCAGGTCAGAAAGCCCCACTGGCGCAAGGAGGGGCTGCAGCCCTAACTGGGGGCCATGGGGTGCAGAGCTGACTCCCCTTAGGTGAGATGTGGAAGGTCTCGTGGCCCGTGGCTGTGATGCGCCTGCAGGAAAGGACCCCTCCAGCAACGGGCTGGGGAACGTGCCCATCACTGAGGGACTCCCTGGCCCGCATGACTTATTGCTGAAGAAACAGACAGCAAAACCAGCTTGTATGAAACCCGATTATTCAAATTTATTAACATCAAGAATTATGCAATGATGCTGTAGATTTTTTTTATTAACAAATAGAAAACAGACTGTATACAACAGTGACCCCTACAGCACTATGCATCCACAAGGTAAAAATGAATGTGTCCTCCAACATTACCAACCCTGGATTGCTGATTTCAACGTAGCTCGGATTCTTAACATTCGGAATACATGTGATAATACAATTAGATACCCTTCCACCACCTTTATTCATAACTCAATGCACTCAAAAGAGGGCTGCTCACTCCCTGTCTTTAGTGCAAGCGTGATATAATAAGGAGTATTAATATATAGTACCATTAAATTAAGTCCAGTAGTCTTGCCACATTGGTTCATTAGAACGTCCTGAAGTAGCGGAAAGTACAATATTCTAGTGACTTTTAACATTTGCAGGATAGCAGAAATTATAGATACACCCAACCTCTGAAAACATGTGTACTCCCCTCCCCTTCCCTGCAGTACCTCGCTTTCCAAAGAGAGCCTGACAGCTCTGCTCTGGCATTGGCGGGGATTGTGCTCCTTGCCTTTGGAAAATGCTCCAATTCGGGTGACAGAACGGTGCTGGCACGCACAGAACTGCAGGATTAACACCAAGGGCCGTGTCTTGCTGCTTCCACCCCATCCCTGGGCAAGTGTGTGACCCACTCGCTTCTCCTGCCCCTCCCCAGCGAGACACACAAAAAGAGGCTCCAGAACCAGGAGCCCGGGATTTCGGGTCTCCCACAAACAAGGTGACGACCACTCATGTCTTATCAGGATCTGCCAATGACACGGTCACCGGATTGGTTTAATACGCATTGTAATAGGACTGAACAGTTTCCAGCTGACAAACGGGACCGCTTCTCCAGCAACCCCACGTGCCCTCCCAAATCTACTCAGTAAATAATGGAGGGAGGAAAGGCTAAAAAAATAATTGGTAGCTGAGCTCCAGTTCCATGAAATTTCATATTCTACAGAGGATTAAAAAGCAGCCTACAGGGAATGGAGCTGGGCAGGAACCACAAGCCAGCTGCTGCAGATTACCAAGGAAGCTGCACTAAAATGGGCAGAACCAGCAGTGACCGGGCTGAAATAAACACAGGGCAGTAAAAAATGTTAAAGCAAAAGGAAATTAAAAAAAAAAAACCCAACTCCCAAAGGTTTGGCGGTTCCAGTTCTGCATGGGCAAAACATTAAGACTTGCAAAAAAATAAAAAATAAAGGAGATTATAAAACCCACTAGTAACTATTTTACATGTTTAAAAAAAAAGATCCCATTCCACCCACTTAAAGCCTCGCTGTGAAATGCAGTCGCGTGAGAGAGGGCGAGAGATGCACATGAGCAGAAATTCAGCCAGAGACTGGAAATGCTTTTGGAGTCGGATCCCCTCGTTTGGCGCTGGGGCGAAGTTCCTAAATGCCGTGGTCAGAACAGGTTGGCATGGAGGTCTGCTGCCTCGGCAGCACCTCCATCTGTACAGAAAGACTGAGGATTGGGCGGCTCTGGCTCAGAGGGACCCGTCTCCACTCCTAGACATCCCCACCGCGACTGGAGGAAAGCACTAGTTACGTTGCATAGTGGTCGAAGCTGCCGAGATACTCCAGCGCCGCTCGGTAGCACAGCTGGTACTGGTCCTGTGGGGCAGCAAGGGGGGCGCATGAGAGACAGGAACACAAGGACATCAAGCAGCAGGGTTGCCACATGAAGAGAGCCCCAACTCCCCTTCCTCCTCCCACAGATCACACCAGGGAGACCCCAGGAAGCAGAGT